TTGCTTTACGACCAGAGGGATATTTCCCTCTTCCCTGTAGAAGCTCTTACTGATTTACCTCTGCCCATGCCTAAACCAGCTGGATGTAGTTAGCCCAGCATTCCTCCAGGCCCTGCCCCAGCATGGCAGAGCCACTTCAGCCCCAGAACTCTATCCCTAAATTATTCAGAATTACTGCTTTTGCTTCGTTTCTTCTCCAAAGTCAAGCACACTTTAGAGGGCACTAAAAATAAATGGTTTTGCTGAGCACTAAATCTATTTCTTAAGGGAGAGGGCTCCCATCCCTTCTGCCTGTGCAGAGGAAAGCCTAAGCCTGTCTTTGCACACCCTGACACTGGTGAACTGGTAAAATTCTGAAAAGATCCCAATTGCCTGCCTGCAGCTTCTATCTTCAAACATTTCTTTATCTAAAAAGAATTGTGTAAAGCACCCGAGATCCCACGGGGAGGGTCCAAAGGACACCCTGTAACCACTGGCTGGGGCACTGCTGGTAGGCTCCTGCCAGACCAGGAGCTCCAGGATCTCCTCGGGATGCAGCCATCTTTCCAGTAGAGCCCAAATTTTTATTTGCTGGATAAAATGGCCTGGATGGCATTTACTTGGTATCCAACTGCCCCCTTGCTGGGTCTGCTCCAACCAGCATGGGCATCCCCCAGCCAGCAGAGAGGATTTAGCCTGGGCAGGGACACCTCCTGCTTATTCTTAGCCTTGTTTCTAAGAAGTGCTTTATAAGCAGGAGCCCGTGTTGACTAATGCCATGAAACATTAATGACTTAGGAGGTGAGCTGCAGCCCTCCCACAGAGCAGCTCCCTGCTCCCCAGCAGCCGGAGAGGCACAGGATGAGCCCAGCAGTGCTTTGCATAGGGGAGGCACAGGCATTAAAGCCAAACCCAAGTTGTACCTGAAGCCAGCTGAAAAATATGACAAGGATAAAAGGTAGGTAAAAGGGAGACAGAGGCTGAGGTGTGCTTAGATGGCTCTGCATTGCAGTCCGGGATAGGAAATTCGGAGGGGTGGAAGAGCCGCCCACCTGATGGCTGCTCCATCTCACACAGCACTGCCCTGGCTGCCTGCACAGCAGAGGTTTTATCTATGAACACAGCAGGTTGAAAAAGAGGTTGCTTTTGTCATTTGCTTGATATAGAGGAGATTTGCATGGGGGGACATGGGAAGAGCTGAGCCGTGGCGTGCAGCAGCTCCCAGCCAGAGCTGCCGGCTCCTTGCTTGTGGTTCCATGCTGCCCTGGGCTGTCCAAACCCAGCCTAGCCAGCTCACAGGACTTGCTCAAGGGGGGCTGATCTGCAGAGCCCCCACTACCCTCCAAAGCAGCATCTCAATGTGTTGGATTTCAGAAGAAATCCTTGCAACACCTTTCCTCAGCTCCTGCTCTCCACCCAGTTCCATACAACCCTATCTCGAGGATCAGAGCCTCAGGGTTGAATTAATTCAGCTAGTGAACTTTAAAATGAGTATTAAATTTCTCAGGAGCATGCTAAGACTTAATTAAAACTCCTGTCATTGTGTGAAATGGCAATGTAGGAATGTAGGAATGCAGGGGTTTGTTCCTGCTTTGGGAAGTGTTTCATGTTGGCTTGGCAAGCCATGCCTCAGCAATGCTGAGAAATCCCCTCACCTCCCTCCTCAAGGAGGAGCAAAATTAGAATAATGAGCTGGTTTATAATTAATTGTGCTCTGGGGACACATTCTCACGATGTCTGGTGCTTCTGGTGGGAATTTTCTGCAGGGAACATCCCAGTATACAATAGACTTCAGGTATCAGGTGTGCTCCCGCCTGCATTCCTGGACCAGGTTATCATGTTGCTCAAAGGGAGGGGAGGGGGAGTCACATTTTTTTCCGGCATTTGGGGTATTTTTTAGCTGTCTTACAGATGTAGGTTAAATATTTGCTCAGGGCAGAACAAATGTCCAATGCAAAGGGCCCCGCTCAGTGATGTGTTTCGATCGCTGGAGCTTCCCCTCACCCAAGTAAAAGGCAAATTAACCTGCCTGACTTCACAGCACCACAGCAGCGATGCTTTTCAGATACAGCACAGGCTGGGCTAAAAGCAGAGCCAAACCCACACCAGGGTCACTGTCCCCCTGCAGCATACCCCGTGGCAGGCTGGCACCGCTGGTGCCATGCATGGAGGGCAGCTGTTTCAGCACTGATGGTCATCAATATATTGAGCCTTTCCACTACCTGCTGGGTGCTGCCAGGAGGGTGCTGCTGGCGGTGAGTCCTGCTGCTCGCTGCCTGTTCTCTGCCTGCCTGCAAAGCAGCATTTCTAAAAATACCTCCAGTGATGTCGTCAGCCGGTGCTCGCTCAGGTCACGGAGACATGACAGCCAAGAAAAGGAGGACGGGAGCATCGCTGGGGGACCAGGCTGAGATTATTCCAGCCAGCGTAGGTGAATCCCTGCAGAGAAGGGGGTGTGAGCAGGCTACCTGCTGCCTCTGCAGGCTCCCATGCATCTTCACTGCCTGCAGGCCCCCCCCCCGCACATCCAGCAGCAAGTGGGCGTCCCCTGGGATCCTGGAGCTAAATAGCATTACTGCACAGGGAAAGGGAGCTGGTACCTGGCCACCAGCGTGCAGAGTAACCCCACTTCTGGATCCCTGGAGATCCTGTTCCTGTTGTGCTGGGGCAGTCACAGAGCCACGCTGTCCTCGCCAAAAAACAGCCCTGCAGCTGGGAGGAGTGGGTTTTGTAATGCTCACAGGTGACTGTTTGAATAGGGCTGTTGGCACAGAACCCTTCCTTGGATCTCGGATTTTGCTCCATGCTTATTCATTAAGTTATTCTTCTAAACTGGGGAATTCATGCATGTGCCTGCCTAATGTAGACTTACTTGATGTAATTGATACAACTTACGTGCTTTGCATAATTGCAATAGCATTAAAAACCTGAAGCATTCAAAAGCCAGGAAATTACTTACCAGTTAAAGTCATTTACATAGGCATTTATTTTACCCTTACAGCTCGTAAGTGAAGTCAGTGGTGATATGGCTTTACAGTCGCTATCAGAAAGGGGAAAGTAACTTTACGTGTGTCAATATTACCCCAAACCAGCTGAAGGAGCGGCACAAATAATGGGGTACTTATGCAAATCAGCAACTGCTTAGGGCCTCAAGGGGTACATGCATGTACATATGGATGTGTGTCTATAGGCACACGTGCCTATATCCATCCCTGCCAAGGGCTCCATGCTGGGAATGCCAATAAACCTTCGATGAGGGGAGGGGGAAGAGGAGGCTGGGAGGGTTTCACTGGCTGTGGGGGGATGGCAGCTGCAGTGCAGAGCTGGAGGCAGATGCCAGACCAGGATGGCATTGGCTTCTCAGGGACAAGGTGCTGTGCCAGGGGCATGGGGACATGGAGGTGACCCTTTGCAGCCCCCTTTCCCTATGGTGAGTGGCTCGAGCAGCTTGTCACCTCCACTGAACCCCTATCACACCCTTCCATGTAGCTGGCTCGTGACAGGGGACAGGGCAGCATCTCCTGGGGGTCTCTGAGGATGTCCAAGAGGTTGACGCCAGGATGAAAGGACAAGGCTGAATCCTGCTCCAAATCCAGGCAGGAGTGAGTGAAAGGCTGTGACTGAGTGTGGCGAGGCAGGAGATGGAGGACACGTGGTCTGAGGGGAGCACACCCTCCTGGTGGGCAGAGCCTTCTCCTTCCCATCTCCACAGAGCTGGCATCTCTCCCAAGGGATGGCCACCCCTGTATCCCCAAACCCACGTGGGACATGTGCCCCACAGGTCAGCCTGCCATCAGGCAGATGTGAGCCATTGCTCTGGGCACCGTCACCATCACTGTGGATGCCAAGTTCAGCTTTGTTGTGGGAAGTATCCGGTACTGCCAGTTCATTACCATGAACAAGTTATGAGTGACTTGTGTCACCCAAACCAGCCATTACCACGAGGGCTGTATGTGCAATACAGGCACGTAGATACAACTCACACCCTAAAAATGCTTAAAGCAGGATTTTCTGTTGCCTTTCTTGACACCAGGGCCTTTGGAGAGGTCTTGGCATGTCAGGCTGTTTTCTCCACGCCTCTGGGTTAGAAGCAGGTTTTTTTTCATTTGAAATCTGTGTCCCCAGGCCCAGTGAGCTTGGGGTGCTGGTTGGCATCGTTGTCAGTGAATGCACTGGTGTTTGGGAGAGTGGGGATATGACAGGTGAGAGCATGGTTTGTCACCTCTGGTCCTCGGTGTGTGGGTCACCAGCACCACAGTCCCCACAGTCCCCCAGGGTCACCTTGATGAGCCAAGCGGGGTGGGCACACAGGTGGGATGTGGTTACACTAAGACTCCCCGAAGAGCACCGGGATTAGGGCGGGAAGGGACATACTGCGAGTACCCGGGACACACCGGGAACCCCCCAGGGCTCTGACAAGGGAGAGTCGGGGAATCACGGGGGCGCGAGGCTGCCCTGGGAAGGGCACGGGGGGAACACCGGGGCTGCGATGAGCTCCCCGAGCTCTGGCGAGAGGGGCCGGCGGTGTCCCACGGACGCCCCGGGAGCTCCCGCAGCCGGGGCGGGGCCGCCCCTCCGGAGCCCCGAATGCGGGGTGGGGCAGCCCCCGCCCCACCGCCCGCCGGGGGGATTCGCGGGTTTCCACGGCAACGAGCGCGGGGCGGAGCTCGGCTCCTCCGTTACCGAAGTGCCCGGGAGGGCGGGCACGGGGCTGGGACCGGCGCTGGCACCGTCCATCGCCCCGCCACAGCCCCGCACCCGGTGAGTGCCCCGCGGGGGCGGCACCGGTGGCGGCGGGGGGGGGCACCGGGCTGGGCAGAGGCTCCCTTTGTCTGAGGAGCTGGGTGTGCCGGCACGGAGCACCCGGGGCGCGGCGGGAACAAGGCTCCCTGTTAGCCTGCGGCGGGCAGCGCCACCGGGACCAGCACCGGGAGCAGCAGCGGCACCGGGACCGGCACTGGGAGGGCGCGGGGCGGGGCTGCGCCTCCTGCTCCCTGGGACCGGGACCGCCCCGCTGCGGCTCCCGCCTTCCCGGGGCCGCCGGTCGGGAGAACGCGCGGACCCCGCGGAGGGCGGGCGGGCGGTCCCGGGGCTCCGCGCCCCCTTCCCCGCCGAGCTGGCCCCCGGTGCGGTGTGTGCGGGGCGGGCGGTGCCGTGCCGGGCTGTGCCGTGCCGGGCCGTGTGTGCGGGGCGGAGCGGGTGGTGCGGTGTGTGCGGTGCCTCCCGGGTGCCGGGCTGCCCCTAGTCCCGGAGTTCCTAACTCCCTAAGTTAGCCCCAGCCCGAGGTTAGGAGGGGCCTGGAGAGGCTTCGGGAATGAGTAAATTAATTACAGACACTGTTTATGTCACATCCGCCGGGAGCACGGAGGGAGCCCGGGGCTGTCGCCTTTTCGGGAGCGAAATCGGGATTGGTGCAACTTCCTGCGGGTTTCGCGAGTCGCGACCGGTGTTACTGTCGTGGTTTGCCCTGGTACGGTCCGCTGGGATTCACGGCTGGACACAGAGCACGGCTGAGATGTCCGTCCTTGCGCTTCTCTGCAGAGGTGCTGCTGTACTCGGGACCCCCGTGCCATGATTACATCCCGCACAGCCTGGGATCTGGGATCCGGGCCCTCTGCCGGAGCCGTCTGGAACACGAAGGACCTTGTCCCGGACGGTGAGTACGGCGCGGTGGCTTGTCCTTGCCCCTTGGGGCTCAGCCTGCCGTGCTCACGCCCTGATCACTGGGGAAGGAGAGGCTGGGAACAGGCCAGCCTGCATTTTTCACATTTCTTTCCGGATGAAGCTCAAGATTTGAGAAACGGGGACTCGGAAGCAGGCACAAAGCAGTGGACAGCCAGGGGGAGAGCAGATGAGCAGAGAGGACTACCTCCATCTCCCTCCTGGCCCTTCCGAGCGGCAAACTTAGGGAGAAAGGTTAAAATTTAACACGTAAGAAAGAGAACAGGGCGATCTGCATGGCAGGGCAGACATAGGGCGCTTGCCTCACTCCGGCTTCATCTCCTTGGAAGGTTTCCTTATCCCTCCCCAGTGCATGGACCCCGTGGGTGAGTTGAGTCGGGGTTTTCCTCTGCGTCGGCTGAGCTGCTCTGCGGGCGGGCGGGCAGCTGCTTGCCCCAGCCCGCAGCCGCTTGTTGGGAAACAGCCCTTCCCACCTCCCTTCCAGCGGTGCCAAATGGATTTTGGTAAAGCAGGGGGCTGAACCCCCCCATTTGAGCTTTTTTTGCTGTTGGCTTCAGCATTCTCCATCCCGATGTACTGGCAGCCGCTTCTCCGGACACTGCTGCTTCCCTGGCACTCAGACCAGTCCAGCCAAGTGCTGATGGGCATCAAAGCCTCCGAAAACGGGGTTTTCTGGTGCTTCCTCTGCCCAATGGCTGCTGCTGCCCATGCCGGGGATGGGGAACTCATCACCTTTTATTGAGGCATTCGCCAGCGCTTTGGAAACGCTCGATTTTTCCTGGCGCGTGTGAAATGTTATGGATAATTAGAGGCTGGGAAGAAGTCCAGAGTGATAGACTAACTTCATCAGGGCACGTCTCCCTCCAGACACTGCATCCACCTCGGGCCAAACCGCCTCTGGATGACTGTAGAGAAAAAACTACATTATTGAGGTTTGATTTGTGGGTTGCTGATTTTTTTCCTGCCTGCTGGAGAAGAGATTTGGCTGCCTGTGATGGTGGCAGCGCTTGTGGCAGGCAGGTCTGGGGGGGAGGGCACAGGGTCCCCAAGCAGTGGGACATAGCCCTCACCAGCTGCTTTTCCTGTAGCAGAGGAGGACACAGCCGTGGGAGAAGGCTCCTCGAGTTGCTGTTTTCCTTCTGTGTGGCTCAGCAGGGCAGGAACTGCTGCCCTGGCTGCTTTCGGGTTTGGCTGCCTGACAAATAAAGGAAATATTTGGGGGCAGTGAAGGGAGGTGACGCCGTCAGGGTCCGTCCGTCTGGTTTCGGTGATGCAAGCTGGCTTTGGCAGCTTTTCCAAGATAGGATCTCAGGAAGTGGAGTGGCTTGGCAAGGGGCAGAGCTGGGGTGTCCCTGGTGGGGGGACAGATCTGGTCCTGCAGAGGCCAGACGGATGCTACACCCTGAATTCTCGTTACTAGTCATTGGCAACCAGTCTCCGCCCCCCGAAGGGATAATTTTTCTAATTAACATAATTAACATTTTTAATAAAAGTCAGGCAACATCTCTGCCACACCGGTGCGGCGGCAGGGAGGAGGAGGCGGCTTTGCTGAGCTAGGCCAAAAGCTGTGTCCATCCTGGGCTCTCGGGTTGATCCAGTGATGCTCTTTGCTCCATCTCAGGCTGCGGGCAGGACAGGCTCAGTGCTGGGAGCGGAGCAGGCGCCTCTCCCCGGGTTCCTCTGCTGCCTACTCTGCTTCACCGTAAAATCCTCAGTGTGAGCTGGCCAGACGCTGCAAACCCCCGTGGGCTCTGCCGGGCTCTCCAGGTGAGGAGCGTTGAGCCAGCTGTGGCTTGGGTGGGGAAGGCAGTTTTGGGGTGGTGGGGAGGATGCCCCGCACCCAGCTGGGCCATCCCTCAGTGGGAGCTGTCTGGTTCCCCCCCTCACTGCAGCCAGTTTCTGTCTGGACCCCAGCACCACGTGCCTCAAGTGAAGCTGCTGCCCTGAGAAGGGAGAGAAGAGCATCTCCTGGGAGTCACAAGGCATCAGAATTGCTGGGGAAGAGCCTGGAATAACATTTTCTGGGTCACTTATGGGTCATGATAACAGGAGAGCTCAAGGCAGAAGTGTGATAAGGAAATGCAGTGCTGTAAGGTGGTGTTTGCCAGTGGGATGGAGGAGGAGGAGGTGGAAGGGTGCCACCGCCAGGGACAGTGTCGGGACACCACGTACTGGTGTTGCTGCCACTAGTTCATTCTGGGCTTCAGGCAAATCAATTCAAATTCTCCTTCTTTGAAAAGAAGAAAAACACCTTCTTATCTCACACCAACCTCAATGAATTCCCTTCGGCAAAACCCTCCTGGAGTCTCAGATGCAGAGGCACCGCAGACACGCGGCTTTTCCAGGAGAATGCTGCCACCACCTCCTTCCAATTTATTCTCAAATTACTGGCATATTTGCCCTTCTTCTGGGGTGAGACAGGTTTCCCTGGTCTGCGGGACGATGCCACGGGCTCTGAGATAAGATATAAGTAAGAAAAGGCATTTTTGACCAGGGCGAGCTCAGCTGATCATCACCTTTTATCTCAGCTTTTCAAAAGCTCCTTCCAGATTTCTTCTGATTTTTTCGGAGCTGGACTCCATCCCACTGGGCATGGCATTACCTGATCCACAACTCACAGCAAGCAGCTTCACATTCAACCCTGCCTGCAAGTCAGGGTCATTTTTTAAGGCCGCAGAAAGAAAAATAGTTAATATTTAGTGTAACTGCATGGCCAGTGCGAGAGAAGGAGTTATTTATGGGGAGAACTAAAAGCAACATGATAAGTTCATTGTGGCAGCTTCCCAACACCCAACTCCCTCAGAGGGAGGGTTTTCCCTGAGCCCCAGTGTCCTATCCTCTGCTCTGCCCTCCTTGCTCGTTCCCGACCAGCCCAGTGGCGTGCTGGCTGCTGGCACCATGTCCAGCACGGTGTGCCCAGTTGCTGCGTGTCACCTCTCCTCTCTGACATGTCACCTCTCCTCTCTGACATGTCACCTCTCCTCTCTGACATGTCACCTTTCCTCTCTGACCTGTTTCTTCTCCTGGACACAGGCCCTGCGGGATACTGCGTGCAAGCGGCGGGAGGAGACCCGGCACCAGGACCTGACACCAGCCACGGAGGAGCCACTGGCATCCCCCTGTGAGCCAGCAGCTGCCACAGCGGTGCAGGCAGCCTCCACCATGAACCTGGAGAAAGCAGGTAAGGGGACAACCGGGATGCAGTGGTGGGCACTCGGGAGGAGGGATGGGATGGGACAGGACAGGATGAGGTGGGACGGCCTGGGTGCTTGGTACCTGCCTGTGGGTATCGGGCAAACCTCTCCTCTTTGGGGGTGCACACAGACATGTGGCTGCCTCAAGTCTGCAGGTCACAGTAGAAATCCAACACCAGCCAGCTGATGGCTGGTGACAGGGACCAATGAATTATTGACTGCATGAACAGAGCAGATGAGCTCCAGTGAATCCACTGCTGTTTCCTCCTGCTTAAGGGAAATGTAACATGTGTGGAAATGCTTGCAGTGTGCGTGGCTGCACCGGGGTGGGGAAATCCTGTGGTTTCCTGTCTGTCTCTGTCAGGATTGGATTGTGCAGGCTTGTCAGGGTGCATCTCAGGAGCTGCTCCTGACATGGTCCCAGGCTGCATCCCAGAGCAGCTTCTTGTGTGGGGGGGCTGCTGGGAAGGGGCAGGGAAGCAGGAGAAAGGGAGTCTGTGTGGCAGTGATAAAAGGGCAGAGCCGAGGAAACGTCTTTCCTAACAGGTTTCAGAGCATTTGGGAAAGCAGGAGGGTTGGTGTGCCATGCCTGCTGCACTCAGACCCCTCATCACCACCAGTGTGTCTGTCCAGTGGGAGATGTAACAACACAGGGCGACATCTCCTCTCCCATGGATGCTGTCACAGGAAGAAGGTGCTGGAGTGTGGAGGAAGGCATTATCTGTGTGGGATTTCCCTGCCTGGCAGTTTGACTTGCAACTGAGTGTTGCAGCTCTGAGCCTGGCTCTGCCTTGGGTCCCAGCCCAGGATTAGTGTGGATGATGTGTGCAGACATGCCGTGTGTCCACAGGAGCCTCCTGCCTCCTGTAATTTTTTCTTATCCCTTCATGCTCCCCAAGGGACGAGAGTTGGAATTCCTGTCAGCTTTGGAAGTTTTGGGGTGGGTTTTTTCTGTGTTGGTTTTAAAGAGAAGACCACAGTCCCCTGCCTGAGCTGGGCTGAGCTTTCAGCATAGAAAGAAAATAAAACTGGTTCCTGGCAGTGCTTTTTTGGGGTATCCAGCCAATGGCAGGAAGACAGAACCCAGTGATGTCTTCTGCAGCCGCTGCTGGATAAGTTCCATGGCATGCTGTCTGCAGTAGAGCTGTGGTTTGGTCCAGCATTTCATTTTTTTTGCCTGTTCTGCTGCCTCCTTAACTCCATTTAAAGGTAGAAACTCTGATTCACAGACAAAAAACTCTTTCTTCTTGTATTCAGGACATTTCCCATGAAGCAGGCAGCATCCTCCTGTGGGCAGCACAGTGATTCCCAGCATCAGCTCCTGCCTTTTGAAACCTCAGGTTTCTGGTGGCAGCGGATGAAATGCGTGGCAGGCAGGGAAGGGCGCCGGGCAGCCGGGATCCTGGCCACCAGTTCCCTCACCACAGTGCTTCATCCCCACGTTGGGAATGAGTCAGGCCAGCTCATTGCTTCTTGGGAACTACCAGGTCATTTGGTAGGCTCTGATGTACGGCCAGGTTGGCTTCTGTCAGCACTGGTGGCTCTATTAACATGCAGAAAACGATGTTTAAAATAATACCAGGAAGGTTAGAAAGCCAAACACAGGAGGATTGGGCAATACGGCCATTCAGAGTACCCGTATAATTTTCCTTCAGCTTCCATTATGTTAGTGTGTAGTGACGCAGCTTTAATGACATGATCACACACAGGTTTTCCACCGGCACCTGCTCATTCAGAAGAAAGGATGCCGGGGTGAATCAGCGCCGTGGTGAGGGCGGTTGTTATCAGAGCAAGGCAGCAGCATCTCGGTGTGTGATAGGGCTGGGTCACCACACAGTGGCGTGGGCAGGTGCTCTGTGCTGCAGCCTGGGATGCACTGCTGGCATTGGCACATCCCTTTGGCTCCTACCCTGCCCTGGGGCTCAGCTGGCCAGACCCCACCGTTAGCCCAACCTGCTGTGGGTCAGCATCGTGGCTGTGCCTCCCGACATGTCACTGTTCTCTGTGGGAGTTGTGCAAGTGCCACTTCCTGTGTTCTCATCTCCACCTCTTCCCCTGTGGACTCTCCCCATGGCTGACATTTTGCTCCCCAGCGAGGTGGCCAGATCCTGACCGGCTCCATCTTTGCTCACCCTGCAGGAGGGAGGCTCTGCAGTGGGAAACGTGCCAGCCTGCCAGCAGCCCGACCCTTCCCAGTGATCCAGAAGGTGATGGCCTCCATGGCACATCTGCAGAAGGAGAAGCTGCAGCTGCAGGAGGAGCTGCTGGGGCTGCAGGAGAAGCTTGCTGCCCAGGAGAACGACGAGCTCTCCCTCTCTCTGCAGCTGCAAGGCCAGGTATGGTGGGGACGGGGTGGCACAAGGGGGTCTGTCAGGGCCTCCAGCCTCAGGCTGTGGCTTGGCCGTAGTGCTGTGGTGTGCAGTTAGTGAGGGTTGCACTTGGAAAGAGTGTAGGACCTCTGTCATGGAGCATCTCCTTTGCTGCAGCACATAGGGATGATGTGGGAGCTGGGTGTTCCTGAGCACTAGCTTTGGTTGTGCCTCCCTTGAGATGCTTGCAGTCCCCTGAGTGACACCACAGTAGTGCTGGCAAAGGTGTGTGGCTCCGTGACGTGGCCGAGAGGGCTTTGGGCTTTGGGATGCAGCCCTGCAGCGTCATCCCTCTGCCCAGCACAGGGTGGCTGCCACAGGATCAGCTCGTTAGACCAACCCAGCAGTTTAATTTTAGTGACTGTCAAGAGTCAGGAGGTGGAAAGTGAATGTGAAGGCACGGAGTTGTTTGAAGAAGGGACAGGTTTTGACCGCCACAACCAGACCTCCTCCAAAAACCATCTCCTGCGCTGATGCAGGCGCATTCCCAGCACAAGGACCTGGGTCGTCCCAGGGAGATGGAAATTCTGGCTGCTCGTAAAGGGATTTGCATGTGGCTGTTGTGGAAGCTGTTGCAGTCAGGTTCTGCTTGTTCCACGGGTGTCAAAAAGGCGGAGGTAATTGTCCTGCATTTGGTTGGCATGCTCTGCATGACACAGGCATGAGCGAGGCAGGAGCCGGCCCCGCGCCGGCCAGTTCGGCAGCAAGCGCAGCCGACACCGGCCGGAGTGAAGTGCTGGCCCAAACCTCCAAAGCTTGGGGATGGCCGGGCCACGGCTTGAGCCAGACCCGGCTGCCAAGGAGTCCCTGTCACCTCCAGAGAGCAAGATGCAGCCAGAGATGCCCGAGCAGGTAGGGGGTGGAGGTGCATCGGCATTTTTGGGCACCGCTGGCACGGGGAATGGTGGGCAGGCTCCGGCGTGTGTGCCGACTGGCTGGGCTGGCGGATTCCCCGGAACAAGTCGTGACTCTGTCTTCTCAGTACCTCCCCTCTCTTAAAAATACTTACAAAAATACCTTAATAGTCTCCCTTGGTGAACATGGAAATGGGGTTTTCCCATTCAAGCGCTCAGCCCCCCTGTGGGGGGGGGGGGATCCCGATGCCGTCAGGGAGCAGCCACATTCCCCCACCCGTGGCTGTGGGACCCCGGGCCATGCCCCACCGAGCACGGGGCACACGGAGCTGCTGCCCGTTGTGCTGCCATCTGTGCAAGGGCGCGGCTTAATAACTTACCAGATTAATTATAGCCCCGTGTCAGCACATCTGCATTGGTTATTAATCAGCAGTTCGTAAATTATGGCCCACAGAGGGCCGGTTGCTTAGAGAAAAAGCTGGTTATTGGAATGGGGCAATACCCAGGCGCGTCCCAGTGAGGAGTTTGGTGGCTTTCTGGAGTAGGGAAATGGGGAGCTGGGCTGGGATCTGGGGGATGGTGGTGAAGCATGCAGCCAGGTCCAGTTCCCTCTGGGGTAAGCTCTGGGGCAGTAGTGATGCTCACCCAGCAGGTTTATGGTTTGGGGACATGGGACAGAGCAGGTGAGCAAACCCCATTAAAACACAGTCCATGAGACTGCTGGCTTCACCAAACACTCTGCTGCTGTTTGTTCAAATAACTGCAGATTTTGGGAGAGCCTGACTGGTCCCTGCACAAAAAAAAGTTGAGGATTTCTGAAATCCACCTGGTTTTGCTGGGAGGGCAGCCTGGTCCCATAAGATGGGCAGATGGTCAGATGGGGGTGGCTGGGGAGCATCCTCCTATCAGACTCAGACACATGGCCTTCTTGAAGAGCTCCTGCTCCCTCTTTGTCCCAAGATAACTTTCCTAGAAGGAAAAACAGAGAAGGCAAAGCGAAGCTATGTTGTGAGGGCAGGACAAGGCACTTCTGGCTCTTCAAACACTGATTGGTTTGTTTTCTCCCTTCTCCAAAGATGATGCCTTTTTTTTTTAATAATGGTTTCTGCTAATGCTCGACATGGACAAATTATACCCATGGTTGAACAAGGTCAAAGCAAGGCTTTCATTAACGCTTGTTTAAATCAGGTCGTGTGAATCAGGCGCTCAGAGCCAGGTGGAAAATTAAGGCATAACAAAAATGTGAGACAGACTGGATGTTGGTGGCTGGGGTGGCACCACAGGGTCTCCTCCAAAAGCTGCTGAGGTGCTTCCTGGTTAACCTGGTCTGTGTTGACAGGTTGAAACTCTGAAGGCGAAGGTCCTGGAGCAGGCGCAGGAGATCGGCCGGCTGCGCTCGGAGCTGGTGAGCCACCTTTGCCTGGAGGGACACTGGAGCTCTGGTTCCTGAGGAGGAAGAGGGCACGTGGGGTGGACAAAGGTGGACTAAACCTCCCCAGGGTCACAGTTTGGACCCTCTGGGCCTTGAGACACTGAGGGACAAAAGTTTGTGGGATTTTCTGTCCAATGCAACGTTGTGCCAGTGTCCCGGGGATGCAACAGGCAAAGCTCCCCCAGCACTATTGCCCTGCAGTGGGAAGTGAAAGTCCCTTTGGGGCTTGGGGCTGCCTGGGCTCAGTGGGGGCTCTCTGACATGGCAGGCTGGGTCTCCCCTGATGGAGCAGGCTGGGGGCTCCCTGGGGTGCAGCAGAGTCAGGGCTCCAAAGTGGCAGGAGACTGTGGCTCCCTGAGCATGGCAGGCTGGGGGTTCCCTGAGGCTGCAGACTGGCGACTGGCTGGTACAGCAGGCAGAGGCTCCCCAGGGCAGCAGCAGGCTGGGCTCAAGGTTCCATCTGCTCTTCCATCCTGGCAGGGTGGCACGGATGCAGAGAAGCACCGGGACCTGCTGGCGGCCGAGAACGAGCGCCTGCGGCAGGAGATGAAGGCATGCGAGGGGGAGCTGCGGGAGCTGCGGCGGCAGCAGCAGCAGCAGGCACCGTGCCGGGACTGCCACCACCTCCAGGTGAGTTGCTGGTGGTGGTGGCGGTGGTGGCAGAGTGACAGGCACCTGTAGGTGACACAGCCTTGCCTGTCATGTTCTGGGGCCAGGAGAACGCTGGGCTGCAGGAGCAACTGTCCCAGCTGCAGCAGGAGGCAGAGGAGACACGGGCCAAGCTGGTGGAGCTGGACCTGGAGGTGCAGCAGAAGACGAACCGCTTGGCCGAGGTGGAGCTGCGGCTCAAGGACTCCCTGGCTGAGAGAGCTGAGGAGGAGGAGCGGCTCAGCCGGCGGCTGCGGGACAGCCAGGAGACCATCGCCAGCCTCAAATCCCAGCCCCAGCAGATAAAGGTGAGCACCATGGAGCTCTCCATCTCTCCTGGCTGGGCTAGGTGCCTCGCAGTGCCCAGTGGCTCCCCTGCAAGTGCCACCTGTCTCTCTGCCCTGAGCGCATCAGCACAGCACCGTGATTTCCTAAATTATCTCCCCCTGGGCAAACAACAGCTCCATTCCAGGCCCCTCGAGTGCTATTTCCCCAGTACATCCCATCTCTGGGTGCTTTTTCCCCCAGTATATCATCAAGACGGTGGAGGTGGAGTCAGCCAAGGCAAAGCAAGCCCTGTGCGAGACCCAGTCCCGAAACCAGTACCTGCAGGAGCAGGTGGGGATGCAGAGGCAGGTGCTGAAGGAGATGGAACAGCAGCTGCAAAGCTCCCAGAAGACGGAGGCTCAGCTCCGAGCTCAGGTCTGGGTGTGACAGGTGTAAATCAGAACTCACCTCATGTTCCCTGCCTGCCTGGTGCCCGCCAGGTGACACAATGTGGCAGAGAGTGAGCACCAGATCAGTGTCACCCTCCTTTGCTCCTCTCCCAGATTGTGATGTACGAGGCTGAGCTGGAGCGAGCCCACGGGCAGATGCTGGAGGAGATGCAGGCGATGGAGGAGGAGAAGAACCGTGCCATCGAAGAGGCGTTTTCCCGTGCCCAGGTGGAGATGAAGGCGGTGCACGAGAACCTGGCAGGTGAGGAGGGGGCAGGGGGCTTGTAGGGTTGCCTGATCATTGCTGGGGTGTCATCACCTGCCCTTCACCCTGCCTCATGCCTGCAGGTGTCCGGACCAACCTGCTGACGCTGCAGCCGGCTCTGCGCACCCTCACCCACGACTACAACAGCCTGAAGCGTCAGGTCCGCGACTTCCCCCTGCTCCTCCAGGAGACCCTGCGCAGCGCCAGGGCCGAGGTGAGTCCCCCTGGAACCACCACCCCATCTCCCCTCTACGCTGAGTGGAGATGCTGGGGGCTTGCTGAGCCACTGGTCTCCACCCCTGCAGATCAGCCAGGCCATCGAGGAGGTGCACAGCACCAACCGGGAACTGCTGCGCAAGTACCGGCGGGAGCTGCAGCTCCGCAAGAAGTGTCACAACGAGCTGGTGCGGCTGAAAGGTGTGCGGGGAGTGTGGCAGGTCCCATGTGGGAGAGCCTGTCCCTGAGGGGGGGCAGGATGGACAGGGGAGCATTCCCATAAGGTGCTTGGGTTGACAGCAGGATGCTTCAGTCTGCAGCAGGGTGCAGCATTCAGCCCACCCGGTGTTTGATGGTTACTGGGGGTGGCAGCAGGATGCGCCGGGCCTGACACCATCCCTGCATCTCTCACTCAAGGAAACATCCGTGTTTTCGGGAGAGTCCGCCCCATCACAAAGGAGGATGGTGAGGGCCCAGAGGCGGCCAATGCAGTGACTTTTGACACCGATGATGATGCTGTCCTGCACCTCCTGCACAAGGGGAAGCAGGTGTCCTTCGAGCTGGATAAAGTCTTCCCCCCACAAGCATCCCAGGAGGAGGTGGGTGCTGCTGTCCACACTGCTGGTGTGAGGGGGGGACACAGCCACCTTCCCCTGACCCTCCCCTGTCACCCCCAGGTGTTTCAGGAGGTTCAAGCCCTGGTCACCTCCTGCATTGATGGCTACAACGTTTGCATCTTCGCCTACGGGCAGACAGGGGCAGGAAAAACCTACACGATGGAGGTGAGTTTGCCTGGCTTTGTTTCCATCTTCTTCCTCAGCTTCCCACCCTGTGGTGCCCAGTCTCAGCACCCTCCACTAAGCATGCTGGTGGCCGGCTCAGACCTGGCGTGCACCAGTGATGGTGACTGCTGCTCCACAACAACCCCCTGGGCTTTGTTTCTGCTCAGAAAAAAAATACAGAGTAAAATGCAAGAGGGTGTTTCCCCCCCCCCCCCATTTCTCACTCCAATCCATCAGGGAACAGCAGCAAATCCAGGTATCAACCAGCGGGCCCTGCAGCTCCTGTTCTCCGAGGTGCGGGGCAAAGCAGCTGACTGGGATTACACCATCACCGTCAGCGCCGCCGAGATCTACAACGAGTCGCTCAGGTACGGGGAGGGCGGAGAACCTTTTTGGGTGTCACCCCATGCTGCTCTCCCTCCCCATCCCACCAGCCCTGCCCTGGCCCCACAGCTTGTGCCAGGGCCTTAGGTGATGTGTTTGGCCATGCAAGGATTTATTTTTAATTTATTTTGGTGCACACCACCCTTCCCACGGGCTCCGAGACTTACACAGTCTCCCAGCCCTGCTATCACTCCCACTCCCTGACCCTGATGCAGCGGCTGGGGCATCCCCCTCTCCACCCTTGCCCACAGATGCTATATTTAGGACTTGGTAACTGGGAGCTGGGAACGTGAGAAATATTTTCCTCCCTTGTCCAGTCTCAGGCAGGAGGGGCTAGGAGGATCCTGGGAGCACATCCATTAGAATAATGGGGAACAGAGTTGGGTGAGAGCAGGCACATGAGAGCCAAGAGAGCCGAGGTCTATAAATAGGATGTGCAGCTTTCCCAGGAGGAGACGGCTGCTCTGGCAGTGTTGGCACACAGCCCTGAGCCGTGGAACGGATGCCAGCACCCCCCTGGGATAGGGATGGTAACGGGTGCCCCTTTGCCCAGGGACTTGCTGGGGAAGGAGCCGCAGGAGAAGCTGGAGATCAAGCTGTGCCCCGATGGCAGTGGGCAGCTCTATGTGCCCGGGCTCACCGAGTTCAGGGTGCAGAGCGTGGAGGACATCAACAAGGTGCGGGGAGATGGGGGGTGGTGGGTACAGGAGGGTGGAACCAGGGGTGCAGCGAACCTGGGGAGGGGTTTTTGGTCTGTGACCCCTGGAGTCGGGAGCATTTCTGAAGCCCTGGGGAGAAACAGAGACCAAAATAGGTCTCTGGATGTGATGCGAAGGTCACTGTCCCATGGGGTGAGCCACAGGGGGTTAAAAATAAAATCGTGGGGCCCAGAGTTCCTGAGGGATTAGTGGGATGCGGCTGTCACCACAGTGCCCTGCCTGTCACCCCCTGCCTTTGGTGCATCACCCAGGCTGAGATCTGACAGTGGTCATCACCCTGATGGACCAGGCACCCCCTCGGGGGTGCTATTGCTCAGGTTACATCTCCAGGTGCCCCTGGATCACAGAGGGTTTGTTGTGGGATTGGGCCAAACTGGCCTCACCCCCCAACTCCCTGGACTCCCCCAGGTCTTTGATTTTGGCCACGTCAAACGGGTGACAGAGTGCACCAACCTGAACGAGCACAGCTCTCGCTCCCACGCCCTCCTCATCATCACCGTCCGTGGCCTCGACCGCAGCACAGGGCTCCGCACCACAGGTGGGTGCCACAGGGCAAGCTCCTCCCCAGAGCGCCTGGGCCGCAGCATCCCAGGGGTGTGTGGGGCCAGGCACTGATGCCAGCCCGGGGGGTTTGGCTGTGTGTCCTCAGGGAAGCTGAACCTGGTGGACCTGGCGGGCTCGGAGCGGGTCGGGCGGTCGGGCGCAGAGGGCAGCCGGCTCCGCGAGGCGCAGCACATCAACAAGTCCCTCTCGGCGCTGGGCGATGTCATTTACGCCCTGCGCTCCCGGCAGGGCCACGTGCCCTTCCGCAACTCCAAGCTGACCTACCTGCTGCAGGACTCGCTCAGCGGCGACAGCAAGACCCTCATGATGGTGCAGGTAGGGGCTGGGCACCCAGTGCCTGTCAGCATTCCCGCGGCCAGTCAGTGTGGGTTTTGGGATGAGTTTGGTCCCTTCTTGCTCCAGTGCTGGGGCAGGTGGGAGGGTTGCTGGAGGCAGGAGCTGGGTTGGAACCAGGGGACAGGGTTTGCCCATGGGGACATCTGGTCTGCAGCTGCAGTGCCGGAGGCAGCTCTGTTCCCATCTCTGCACCCCAGAGGGATGGGAGTGAACTTGGAGGTCCATGATCCTGCCCTCCCCACCTGCACATGGAGGCCATCCCTGTGGGCACAATCTCCTTGCATATTGTCATCTCCACATCCCCTCTTTTGCTGGGAGGATTTTGAGTTCTGGCAGCTCCTCCACCCCTGTCCTGTGACCCCCCAACCCCGGCTGTCCTGTGCCCACAGCGAGCCCCCACGGGGGCTGCCCAAGCCCCTGCCACCTGCCACAGCTATTCCCGGCTGTCCCTCCCGCTGTGGCGGTTGGTGACAAGGGATCCAGCTGGCTCAGGCACGGATGGACAGAGCCATCCCGGGAGGGGCAGGTTAATAATAGCATCTCACCGGCCGCCATGGGCAGGTTTGCTGGGGGAGGGCCCCAGGGTGCGCAGGCAGCTGCCAGGGTGACTTTTCTGTCTGCTCCTCCCTGCCTGCAGGTCTCCCCTGCTGAGAAAAACACCAGCGAGACGCTGTGCTCCCTGAAGTTTGCCGAGAGGGTTCGCTCCGTGGAGCTGGGTCCTGTCTCCCGCAAGGCTGAGCTGGCCTCCTGGCCCAGCCAGGAGCAGCTGGAGGTAACCAAGGAGCTGCTGGTGCCTTTCCTTTTCCCCCTCACTCCAGGGGTCCCCCTGTTTTGCCCACACACATGTTCCCCAGGGCTGTTGGATGTTCCCCTGGAGCCACCTTTGCTGGGGACCATCACCTGGTGGGATGGGGGTTGTCCCCAAGCAGAGGTGTCCAGCTGATGCTGCTACTTCGGCTGTTCCAAGCCATGTTTTGCAGTAGCCTGTAGTACCCCCAGAGCACATTTGGATACCGCTACCCAGGCGGGCACGATCTGCCCGTGAGCCCATCCCCATTCCTTCCCTTTGAGGACTGGCATGGGCTGACCCTGGGTCTGTGTCCCATCTCCTCTCAGGGTGACTCACCGGGTTCTGCAGCAACACCTGGCCGGGGCCACGCATCCCACAGCCCAGGGCAGCTCTCCAGTCGCTCCGCCTCCATCCGCAGGAAGCTCCACACTTCAGGTGGGTGGTGGGGCACCTTGGGAGCCCATATGGGGTCCCTCCATCCAAGGAGGCTCCCACCACAAGCCCGTGGCAAAGCCTGCATGAGGGAGTGAGCAGATTCGTAATCAGCTCATTAACTAATTGCTAATTAGCCATGGTTAGCACTTCTCCAAGAGCACCCTGGTGCAAAGCTGCTGCTGGCAGCTCAGGGGATGAGGGGAGGGTAATGCCACCAGGCTGAACTTCTCTCCCCTTTGATTTCAGCCTGACTTAGGGGCAGCCGTGGCTGCCAGGTGAGTGCCTGCGGCGGGTGCTGGTGGAGGGCTCTGCTTCACCCGCTTGCCAGGCAGGGCAGGGCTGCTGGGCTGTGCAGGGATGCTCCTGGGGATGCTTGTGGTACCAGCTCTTGCTACAGTGCTGCCAGACGGGGCTGGGGCACTGGTGGCTGTGTCCTTGCCTACTGTGACCCACGTGTCTCCTCGCAGGGAAGCTGAGGTCGGTCCCACTGTGATGAGTGCCAGCTCCTAGCTCGGGCACCAAACCCGCTCCAGGACCCAGCCCCTCACGGCGACACGGAGGTGGCTGCTGGAAGAAATGAAGGCTTCAGTGCTGTTCCCTTGGTCACCAGGACCTGTGACCTGAGGGTGATGGCACCTCTCACAATGAGCAGTACAGGACCAGGGTCTCCCAGCAGCCAGACCCCCCTCTCAGAGTGGGTGACAGTGCTGCTGGGCAGGAATCTGCCCCCTCGGATGCTCAGCTATGGGACAGTTGTTTTTAGCCAGAGCGAGGAACTGCTGAGTGCTCCTTCCATCTCTCCAGCTTTGTTTTTACAATGAAACTGGGTTGGAGGAGGTTCTTGGAGCTGGAAAGGGTGCTCGGAGCCAGGCCAGCCCCTGGCCATGCCTCTGCTACCCCCACAGGGCCAGCCTGGCTATGGCTCCCCCAAGACTGCACCTGGGCAACTGCCCGTTGTCTTTCAGAGCAGCATTTCCTCCGTGGTAAGTCAGAAAAAAATTCCAGCAGCTCCTTCCCCCGTCGGTTTCTCAAGCCCTGTTGTTGCATGAAGGCCCCTGGTGCCATGCATGAGCCGAGCTGCCGTTCCTCGTGGTGCCACTGCTGCCAGGCCCTGGCACAGACCCAGAGCAGTCATGGGCCGCCTGTGTTACACGGCACCAGGGGGGATTTCGCAGTCTCGAATGAAGCTATTGTAAAGTTATTTACCAGTTGTCTTGTCAAGAGAGATCACAGTGTGGTCGAGATGAAAGTGTTTGAAATATTTATGCCTGTTTACATGGACTTGGAACGGAAAACTAACGGAGAACAAACAAAAATACCCCAAACCTCCAGCCCAAAAGCCTGTTGGCTTATCTATGGGGATGGTGGCTGGCAGGGGCATGGGAGGGGGATGGCACTGCCTGTGGTCCTGAGCACCCACCTGTGGGTACGTTTCCTCCTGCTGCAAATACCTGCTGGATGCACTGATGGCTCCTTCCACCACGGCCCTCTCCTCTCACGCTTCCACAGCATATTCTATTTAAAAACAAAAAAGGGAAAAATAAATTTAGCCTTTTGTATGATTAGATGTTTCTATGTATTTTAATAATTAAAAATTATCCTGTTTTGTAACAAAACTTATTTTAAATAAACTGTTTAAGCCAGTCCTCCTCTGCTGCTGTTCTTGAACCCTGCTTGGCTTGGGGTGGGTGCTCCTTCCCTCGCTCCCAGCATCTCCCCTAGGGCTGGAAAAGCCCATCACATCCCTTCCCTTGCCTCCAGGCCTGCCTGGCTGTGCAGACCCCCCCTGATTGCAGCCATTGGGCTCCCATGATTAGCAGGAGAGTGAGTGGTTAAACCCTAAGTCAGCCTCAACACTGCCACGTCCTGCTCCACCTCATGCTTCTCCCAGCTGAGATCTGCTGGAAGCTCAGCAGGGAGGGAGATCTGCTTGGGGCCAGGGACAAGGACAAGCCCCAAATGATGACACTGTTCCTTGAGCTGGGAACAACCCAGCAGTGAAACCACCCCCGGGATTTCCACAAGCCACCCAGCAAGTGCTGGCTCTCCCGCTGCTCACCGCAGCCTCCCAGCAGGAAGGGCAAGAATGGTCAGCTTTCCCCTGGGACACACAGGGAACAGGGCCCTGCTTTTCCTGGGTGCTCCCAATCAGGAGCTGTGCCAAGGTAAACAGGACTTCAAGAGATTCAGGCATTTAACACGACTTTAAAAAAAAAAATTACAAATATTTTAATAAAATTCATTTAAGTTACAGATTCCTGGAGAACAGGCTCCAGTGTATAAAATGGGAGACAGGCTGGGAAGAGCAGGGAAGCACCAACAGGAACCTCTTTCCCCAGAGGAAAGAAGAAAGAGGGACAGAAAGGTTCTGACAGACATTTATTGGGGGAAAAAAACCAAAAAACGAACCTCTAAGAGTGGTCCAGTGGATGTAGAAAGACATTAATCAGTCCATGTCCCTCTGTTTCTCCACCCTCCCAAATCCTCACCCCCAAAGGCAAACACATACGACAAGTCCTGCTTAAGTCACATATTCTCACAGGTCCAGGAAGACCTCAGATCGCAGCACAGTCTGAAGATATTAATCTCCTGCATCCCTGGGTGCCAGCAGGGATGTCTGAGAAGCCAAGAGACAGCATCCTCTTGGTTCAGGTCCTTGAGACTGCACCAGCACGGTGGCACGGTGTCCTTGCCCAGGTTGGATGAAGCCAAAGGAGCCAATCCCTCACGGCAGCTGATGTTCCTTCTGTACGGAAAGGGCACTCCACCCCACAGCAGGCATTTGTGGGGCGGTCTCTGCAGTCCTGAGCACGCTGCACAGCGACAGCGGGGCCAGCCAGCCCCGGCCCACAGGGCCAAGCGACAAGAACGGACAGCACAGGCGGGAAGGAGGGGCGACAGCGGGCTCGGAGCCGTCCTGCCACGGAACGGCCAGCACACAGAGCAGCCCAGAGCTTGATGCTGAGATGAAGAGCTGAAATGAAGCAGCTTCCCTACAGGTCTTTGCGGGGCCCTCAACCCGCCAGGGCCCCTCACACAGCACACGTCTCTCCACTCAGGTCCTCCATCCAGCCCGTAAGGCACCGGGGCTGGGTGGGCGACCGGCCAGCCAGATTCCACTTCCCTACTGTTCTGGAGGGGGGGCAGGGGGAAAAGATGGACACATGGAGAGACCTGAAATCCAGCCAGACCACGAGCAGAGGGAAGCTTGGCCAGCTGTATTTGCACGTGAGGAAGTGGAGGCTGTTACTCCAGGACAGCCATGAGGAGAAGCAGTTCCCGAAAGGCACTTCCATGGCGGCCACTGAGCCCAGACTTGTTCTTGACGACGTTGCTGATGTTTTTCAGCTGCTTGTAGCACAGCTTGCATTTGTGGAGCCTGCAAAAAAACAGCAGCAGACACAGCATAAAACCTCAGCTGCCTAAGAGATGTGCCTGTTCCTGCAGTGCCAGAAAGGCAATTCAAGCAGGAGAGAAAAGCCCCACAAATGGCCTGGAAGAAGCTGAAATCTGAGCAGAGCTCTGCAGACAAACACCAGGCATTCAGCCCATGTCCTGATGAGACAGGGGAATGGCATTCACATAAGGGCTCTTTCACTCCCCTTTCCCCTTTGGCAGTACAGACCAGGGAGGAAGGAGGTGCTGCTTTCTGAAAGCCAATTCTCAAAGCAGAGCTATCCTGTGAATGAACTGGAAACCCAGGGCCTGGCTGCCAACTCATGTGAAGCAGAGGGTGAAGCCAGAGGGTGGTTTTACTCCCAACACTTTGTTTAGGTGTGACTCAATGCACAGTGACAGAGGGAAAAGCAGTCTCGGCCTTTTTCTTAGAGCAGGAGGGTTTGGTGTTTGCAGACAAAGGGAAGGCATGCCCAGTCTAGTATCAGAGCCTCCACAGTGAGGACAAAGCTCACCCAAGAGAAAAGCTGGTCCCAACAGGGAGCAAGCAGAAGTGTGTGCCTCACCTTTCCTCTCTGCTGATGTCCACTCCAACAGAAGGTGGTGCAGCAAGGATGTCTGTGATGAGTGGCAGGAATCTCTGGAGAATGAGTTTCAGGGATGTGCAGCCAGTCTGCACATAACTGAAAAACAGAGCATTGGGTCCCCTTTGAATTTCTTCCTGTCCTCCCCGCACACAGCCCTCACACAACTCCCCCTCCACCACCTGTAACCAGGGAAGAAGAGCAACAGCCAATGCATCTTGGTTCCAAGGCTTTGACAAAGCAAGCCTGTTCCAAAGGTCCTGGCACATACCCTGCCAAGTGGGACCTCTTTGCTGAAGGGCAAAGATGTCCTGCCAAGGGACTCTGGCAGGAGCCTCTCTCCCAGAAGAAGGAAGAGCAGAAACTTCACCTTAAGAAAGAGGCTGAATTTTTTTTCCCCCTAACAACGAGTCTCCGGGGCTGTTGCAGGACTTCATTACCCTTGTCCCAAGCTGACAGCTTCACTCCCTCCTGGCTGCCAGAGCTGTCCTCAATCCAACACACCTACACCAAATCCCACTATCCTGCTCTTCCTGCCCATGCATACTTTCCATATCTTTTCCCACACACACCTGGCAACTCCATGGCTACTTTCCAGGCATCATATCAGCATTATACTGTATCTGTTGTGATTTCTCAGGATTTTCTTTCAGGTACAAAATGCCCAGTGGAGCTCCCTTATCACTATCTACACCCTGTCCCCCAAGCACACCACGTTCTTGGGGCCTCACCTTTCATATTTACTTTGGAGTAGTTTTTCTATCTGCGGCAGGACTATAGTACACAAATCCAGCTTCCAGAGAGACCTGAAAAGAAAAGGACACATCCTGAGACTGGAGACTGAAGCTTTACAAAGCTGAGTCGACACAAACAACACTTTATAGCAAAATGCCCAGGCAGCAATACTCAAGTTCACTGAGCAAGTTCACTGACACCCCCTTGTGAGAGAAAGTGGCAGGTTCTGACATATTTCATTGACTCTCAGCACAATCGCTTTATGAAGCCCCAAGACTTTGATTTTCCTTGGCCCCAAATAACTCCAGCAGGTACTGGCACTGCAGGCTTGAAAACGTGACTACAAGCACATGCATTTCATGCTGCCACAGCCCACTGGACACGAGGCAGGTCCAAGGCAGCACTCCCTACTCCCAGCCAGATTGCTCTCAGCTATCCCAGGGGCTGCCCTCACCCAGGACTCACGCTTTTTGGTTGACAATATTCAAGAGGTCCACAACAACAGACAGATCGTTGATTGCCACTGCAGAGTCCAGAGAGTTCTGAGAGAGAAGGAGAAGAAAAAGTGTTCTATTGCAAAGCTCAAACTGGTTGGGCTAATGCAAATTAGTATCAAGTGCTGCTTTTCCAAAACAAGGTAGAGGAAATGTGAAGTTCGCTAGGGGAGAGAACTCTCTCAGTGGCAAAGTTTTCTCCACCTTTCTTTGTGACTGTTCAGCCTCAGATGGGATGCAGAGGCACTTTGTGGTGCACCCCTGGGGACAAGACCTGTGAGACCCCGTGTTTTTTGTGAGGCAGAATCAGCCCCAGACAAGCAAACAGAGCTGCTCAGCTGCTCCCCTCAGCAGCCTCAGGTATCTCCACGTCCTTGCCTTGATGTCACTGGTGCTCCATACAGCCCGCACGGTGTCCAGATTCTTGTGGCGGCTGGTGAGCACCACACACATGGTCTCGTGGCCCTTCCTGATCTGGGACATGGCTTCCTCATCCACAAGCTCGGTCTGGCTTTGGTTTTTCACAGCCTGGAAGTACAGACACCAATAACAGAGCAGTATGGCACAGAAGGGTGAGAGCTTTCTCTGGCCTTTGAATGGAAATGCCCAATTTGTTCTGACCTCAGTTACTTCTTTTCTGCTTTTTCTACTATGTCAATCACAAACACGTTTGAAGCTTTGGAAAAACTCTCAGAAAAAGGTGAATTTAAAGTAAGTTTCCAAACCCAGTATGTTTTGATGAAGAACTTAATTCACGTAAACCCTATTTTTTACGTGGAACATTAATCTGGAATCAGCAGATTTCATTACAAAGTATAAATCTTACACAATTTATTAGACTCTCAATTTGATTCCTGCCCATGCCATGCTGGAACCACATTTAGTCTGGGATCATCAGGATGCTCTGGTCTTTATCCTTTTCCAGGACAAGAGAGACCAAGAGGCCTCCAAGATGCAAGAGGCAGAGATTCCTGTAAAATTATTATGTCCATGTAATGGCAGACACCCACAACCTTTGTCTAAACAAATCACTGCCTAGTATGTGGAGTTGTTCAGTGACTGTCTCACCCTTTGCTTTCTGCTTTGGTAACATGTTGTTTGTGAGCAGGGCTCAAGGCTGCTGTGTTCACACTACCCTGCTGCCAATCACAATGGGGGCACCCCAGAGAACCCCCTTTCTGATGCCACCCAACACAGACATCAACTGGAAACCATTGTCCAGAGACACTTACTGGTAGAAAGTCAGAGGCCTTCAGGCCAATGGGCTCATTCCTGGCTGCAGGAATCACTGATGGCTCTGTTCTGGTCGAAGAAGTTGAGGAGGCTATCAGTGGCCTCTGGACTGGATCGGGCTGAAGGAGAAATTGGGATGAAAGCTCTAGCAGCAACAGTCTGGCCCTACTCTGATGACCTTTATTTCTAACCTACTTTCCTCTCACAACAGGGTCCTAAGGCAGAAGCAGTCTCCAGTTTGCTAGCATAGTTTAAGAGGCAATAAAGTATCACTCAGGTACACACCAAGATGTAATTAAG